GAGAGAGAGAATCCCAAGCAGGCTCCACATTCAGCACAGAGCCCAATGCAGGGCTTGATCCCATGACCCTGGGATCATGCATGACCTGAGCAGAAATCAAAAGTCAGATGTTCTATTGACTGAGCCATCTTGGTGCCCCTGAAAAAATCTTTAAAAAAAAAAAAAGAATAGAGCAAAATGCTCTCAAATTTTGGTCAATATATGGGTATTTGAACCTGTTTGTGATATTTAATATCTTAAAATTTTAAAACATTAAGAGTCGATTAATTAAAACGATGAACAACTCCAGAGCTCATCTACATCTGTGAAACAGAAACATCCTAAAATCCAACTGAGGACACATGTGAGAAATTTCAGAGCCAATCCTTCGGGTTTCCCTTCTTTTTCAGAAGAAAAGTTTGATAAAATGAGTGGACCTAGATTCCTGGATCTATACGGGAGAAATAGATATTAAAAGCATGGTTTTCAAGACACACAGACCTGGTTCAAATCATAGCTGCCTCAGTTATTCAATATATGTTCTTGGGTAAGCCACTTCCTCTCTCTAAGCTTGTTTTCTCTTTTATGAGATAGAGATAAGCTGACCAGATGGCAGATCGCACAAGGCAGCCCAGGTCAGGGGGTACCTGAGAGTCAAATGGAAGCTGGCAGATCAGAGAGATCAGCCCTGTGGCCATCAGAAGAGGACTGGGCTTGGGTGTGAACAATGTCAACCCACTGCAGAAGAGGCCAGAGCTCTAAGAAGGGAATCAGGCCCTGTTGGGTTTCAGACAGATGTACTCCCCTTCTTGCCCCCTCCCCCTTGTCACAGGGAGACCTTGGCAAGCCCTATCACCATTACTACAGGCTGAGAAGACACTGGCTGGGTCACTGGGCAGGCACCTGCTCTACCTCAGGAACAGACTACAGTGTAGTGAACCAGCCTGTACTTTAGCGGCCTCTCTTCCACCACTCCTCTTCCCTCTCCCTGTACCCAAGCACTAAGTTAAAGCGACCGGGGGCTCAAACTTCTCGTAAGAGTCTTACCTGGACCAAGAGAGTTACAGAGAGGTTCTCCAGGGATGCACTTGTCTGCTGAGGATAATAGGGGTGTAGACTGTATACCAGAGAGCCTCCTTCCCAACTCACCAGAATAGTTCAAGTGACACTTGGACTATGCCGCCTCTCCCCAGGCACTTAGTTCCGGCCCTAAGGAAAGAGGAGCTCACAGGGGCAGATAAGAGATGTCTGAGGGGCACACACCCAACAAGAGAAAGACAACATACACGACTACCTTATCCAGACACACCAGAGTTAATGGACAAGGCAGGGCAACAACTGAAAATTACCATTTTAAGTATTATTCTAAAAAAAGAAAAGAGAAGACTTTGGAAATATGAATGGGGAAACAAGAAATCATAAAGAAGAACCAACTACAGAACCAGATATGAAAAATGTTGTAGATTAAATAAAGCCCCCAAAGGCTGTGGTGAATAGCAGAGTGGATATAGCCAAGGACCAAATAGGCAAGTATGAAGATCAGGTTCAGGAAATTGCCTTAAAAGCATAACAAAGGCATAAATAACTGAAAGGCAGAAGGTGAAGTCAGTGTTGTGTGAAGCTGGCTACTTCCGGATGGAATGGTGCATGACAGAACCAGTGGGCCCTTTGGTCACGGGTCCTGCCCCTCACTGTATAGTGGGTCCTCTCATTGTATGCTATGTTGTTTGTGGCTACTTCCTGCAGATTGGGTGGGCATACTGCGACTCCCCAGATAGTAATAAAAAAAAAAAAAAAAGGAAGGAAGGAAGGAAGGAAGTTATAAAAGGGTTGAACACAATAGACCCTGAACTTTAGAAACAACAGTGCACAAAGATGCAAATGGCACCAGGATCCCACCTCTACCTTCTTTCTTTGTTTTTCCTGCTCCTACCTCAGCCTCTTTGACCTCAACCCTTCTTTACAAGTGGGGAAAATGGCTGCCTATAGCTGGTAAGTTTTACCTCGTAACCCACCCAAGACAGGTTGATCACAACACTCTGCGTACCAAATTTAAGAATCCCATGGAAGGGTCTTCTTCGTACAGCTTGATCCAAGTCATTATCCTGGGACTAATTATTTGTGTCAAGTATCACATAAACATGGCAGGTTTTCAGTTAATTCAATCATTAAGGAAACAACTCTCAGGAGACGAAGACGGACAAAAGTTTGCATAACAGTACACTTTACCCCGAACAAAGCATGATATATAGTAGATGATCATTAAATATCAGTCCTCTGCTGCCCTTCTTGCTCCACCATCAGACACATGTAGTACTCATGCTGGTAGAGATGGGGAGCCACTGAGGAATTTTAAGCAAAAACTGACATTGTCAGCTTTTGTTTTGTCAAGACTGCTATGTAGCAATATGGAAGTTGGACTGTATAAGGAAAGTTGGCAGTGTTAATCTTCAGAATTTAATTTTAAGGGGTGCCTGGGTGGCTCAGTTGGTTCAGCATCCAACTTCAGCTCAGGTCATGACCTCACATTCATGGGTTCGAGCTTCATGTTGGGCTCTGTGCTGACAGCTCAGAGTCTGGATCCTGCTTCGGATTCTGTGTCTCCCTCTCTCTCTCTGCGCCTTGCACACTTATGTTCTGTCTCTCTCTGTCTCAAAAATAAACATTAAAAAAATATTAATCGTTTCTTTTTTAATTTATTTCTGAAAGAGAGACAGCGTGAGCAGGGGAGGGTCAGAGAGAGATGTAGACACAGAATCTGAAGCAGGCTCCAGGTTCTGAGGTAGCCATCACCCCAGAACCCGACACAGGGCTCGAACTACGAACCGTGAGATCATGACCTGAGCCGAAGTCAGATGCTTAAGCGATTGAGCCACCCAGGCACCCCCCAAAAATTTAATCTTTAATTGTAGGATATCTAGATGCGGTTATGACTGAAGAGAAATTAACATTACCCAGAGATGGATATATTGACTAATGGGACTTTGTCTTCCCTTTTTTCAGAAGATAAAGGGTGGCTATTTTTACAATGGATGTTATATCATGTTAGTGGAAGCACAAAGTTTAAAATGGATATAAGAGTAAAACTGGGTGCAAAGGGGTGGACTGTGCTGGTCACGTGCCTGTTTACTTGTCCCTCACCCTTCACCTGCCCTGCTCTGTGTCTAACTCCTGACAATCCCATTTCCAAAATTTCCTTGCAAATGGTCCACTTAGTTTCAGCTAATGGCACCCAATGCCAGGTAAAAGAAGACTGAAAAGGATTGGTCAGAGACGAGGGAAAAGATCAAGAAAAAATGTGTTGTAGAAGCCAAGGGAGGAGCACATGCAATTTATTCAATTCTGCAAATATCTGTTAAGTGTGAACTCTGGGCTTCAGTCTTATACTGAGCACATCAGATGCCAAGATGACAGAGGCCTGGTCAACATCCTCAAATGGAGTGACAGAAAAATTTTCAGGCAGAGACTGTGACCAAACAGGGTGACTGAACTGTACCTGAGAGAAAAGATGATGATCACCCACTGTGTGTCAGGAGGCAGGAAAGGTAGGGCCAAATTAGACCTTGAGGAGCCTTTAGCTCTAAAGGGATTAAGGTGCTCTCTTTTTAAATGACATAAAAGTTGGGGCACCTGGGTGGCTCAGTCGGCTGAGCATTCAACTTCGGCTCAGGTCATGATCTCACAGTTCGTGGGTTTCAGCCCCGTGTCAGGCTCTGTCCTGACAGCTCAGAGCCTGAAGCCTGCTTCAAATTCTGTGTCCCCCTCTCTCTCTGCCCCGTCCCTGTTCATGCTCTGTCTCTCTCTGTCTCAAAAATAAATAAAACATTTTAAAAAATGAAATGACATAAAAGTTACATGAATGCCAAGACTAAATCCCATTTTTAAAAAACTTTAAAAATTTTTCTGACTGCAAAGTTCTGGGTAAATTCACTGGTGCTAACTTTTCTCTTTGGGAACCTTGCACTCCTATCTTGCCAGGGAGGTAATCCCTCAAGGAGTGAGCTGGTATGTACCCTGGCCAGGTTTTGAATGGCATCTCTCCTAAGACTCCATTTAACAGTGTTAAATGGTGCGAGGAGATCAAGCAAACAAGAGCTAAGATGTTACCAACAGATTTAATAAAGAGGGATTTTTTTAGAGACCCACGTGAGAGCAGTTTTCCTGGATGGGTGGGGCACGGGACAGGAAACGCATATTATCCAGAAGTAAGGCTGTGATACAAAGGAGTGGAGGTAACTAGAGGTAACTTGTTCCTGAAACAAGAGAGATCTGAGCATATCTGTGAATGACTAGAAAAGAGCCCCTAGTCCTTCCTGGTCAACTAAATGGCTTGGGGTTGTTTACAATAAAAACATCTATTCACCGTGCAGCCCCTCACGGAATCCTCAGGATATTTCTCCTGCTACACCTGGAAACCTTGGCAGTCACTAGAAGTCACAAAAGACTGGGTGATCAGGAGATCTGAACACTGACTCCTGATTCTGTCTGCTTCACTGTCATACCCAAAAGCCCAAGAGAACAGAAACCCTGGGGTGTGAGGAACAGTCAAGGGAAGGGAGAGTAGCAAAAGTCTGGGATCCAGGCTCCAGTCCCGCCTCTGCCACTCCACAACCCGGCACCCCATAGTCTTGTGACTTGTCTTAATTTGTTCCCCGAGGTCTCAAGGGATGCCCAGAAAACATCTTTTGGGTTTGAGTGCAGGCTGTACCATGCACTACAATGCGACCTGGGCCTCGGTTTTCCCTTCTAGGAACCCCTGTTTTACGGAGTAACCGAGAACAGGGGTCACCTAACCACTAGGCGTGCAGTAAGTGCTCGGGAAATGCCAATATCACCGCCTCCCATTACGCCCAGGTACAGCCTCTCGCTCCACACCGCACCTAGCAGCGGGGGGCGGGAGGTCCCCGCGCTCTGGTCTGCAGACCCACTCCCACCGCCCCTGCGCGGGCCGCCTGTCGCCGACAGCAGCGGTGCATTGTGGACCTTGTAGTGCGCGGCTGGGGTTGAGTGGGTGGGCGCGGCCGCTGCAGTCGCAGCGGGGCCATCTTCCGCAGGCCGGCTGGTTCGGCCTGTACAGCCCGCACCCGCGCCTCTCGCCCGGCCCGATGGCTCCGCGGCCGCTGAGTCCCTTGGTGCTGGCGCTGGGCGGCGCCGCGGCCGTGCTGGGCTCAGTACTCTTCATCCTCTGGAAGGCCTACTTCGGGCGCGGACGGGAGCGGCGCTGGGACCGGGGCGAGGCCTGGTGGGGCGCGGAGCCTGCCCGCCTCCCTGAGTGGGACGAGTGGGACGTGAGTGCCGGGCCGGGGTCTGGGCCTCTGCACGTGCAGCTGAGGGGTGTGACGCTGCCCCGCGAGGCCGGAAGCGCCTGGGTCGGGGACTTGGCGCCGCAGCCCCCTGGCCTCTAGCTAAAGGGCGCGCGGCGGGCAGCCAGGCAGTAGTGAGTCCCGGAACCGAGAGACGGCTGGGCATTTCAGGAGGTGTTTGGCACCGCCCTGTGCTGCCGCGGGGCCCGGGCTTCCTCGTGGGCGCCAGAGCTCCGTAGGCGTGGCCCCGGACTGAGGTCGGGCCCGCGCTGTGTCCACCCCGCGCTCGCCGGGCGCCTGCGCAGTACGCACAGCCCCGCGGCCTAGGGCATGCCGGGAGAGGCCTCCGCCCCCTTCCCGGTCCCGGGCCGAATAGAGAGTTTTTCCCTGTCCGTGGTACCTGCGATCCTGGGTCGCGGGGATTGCCAGTCTGAGGAGGCTGCGGCTTCGCGAGAGGAAGGAATTTCACCGAGGTCACTCAGGGAAAGCCAGAATAGGGTTTGGGATTCAGGACTCCAAAGGCAGCGCTGGTTCCACTGCGCCAGACCATTACTGCCTGCCCGTTGACGGGTGGAGGGCGGGATGGACGTTTTGGTGTCTTCGGTCTTACTTTAGGGAGGGTCCGAAGGGAGGTTGTCGGCCGCAACTTGACCTGTGCTCCACAGCCTGAAGACGAGGAAGACGAAGAGCCCGCGCTGGAGGAGTTGGAGCAGCGTGAGGTGCTGGTGCTGGGGCTGGATGGCTCAGGGAAGAGCACGTTCCTGCGGGTGCTCTCTGGGAAGCCACCGCTGGAAGGCCACATCCCCACCTGGGGCTTCAACTCTGTGCGGCTGCCCACCAAGGACTTCGAGGTGGACCTGCTAGAGAGTGAGCAGACCCCCGCCTCCTACACACACACACACACACACACACACACACACACACACACCGTCTCCCCATCACCAGCTGGACCCAAGCCGGGGATCTCTGCCTGGGGGTGGCTCCAGCATGCGTATCTAAGCAGGACACGTCTCTGTATGACATTCGTCCCCTGCCTCTCTGGGGCACAGGATATAGTCCAGGATCTGTATTCTGAAGTGATGGGCCGTTCATGATCGGCAACTCCAGCTTGGTCACTGCCTGTCCCTCACCCCTACTGAAGCTCTCATGCCTAACACTGAGATACCAAAAACTAAAGTTTCCTGTATGCCAAGCACTTGACAGGCATTATGTAATAAAATCCTCCCAACAACTCCAGAAATCTGGAAACAGTCATTACCCTTGTTACATACATGAGGAAAGGGAAGCCCAACAAGTTAAATAATTTATCCTGGCTCACCCAGCTTGCCAGTCTGCTAATGCAGACTCTGGCTCTAAGCTCTCGGTGTTAAGCATCATGCTACATTGCTCGCTTCTGAAGGGTACTTGCTGTTTTCTTCTGCCCTTTGCTTGCACTGTTCCTTCAGTCTAGAAAGCCCTTCTTCCCTTGATGAGCTGCTACAACTTCAAGATTTAGGTCAAATATCATATCCCTGGTGAAGCCTTCTCTGATTTCCAGGCTAGGTTAAGGGCTCTTCCCCTGAGCTGGTATTTGCCACATACCAGGCTATGTCCATGACTAGGCATGTGGGGCACAGGTGGGTCTGATCCAGTTCCGGCCCCTAGGGCCCAGGGTCAAGCAGATACCTTGGAGAGCTTGTTGAGTGAGTGATCAGAGGGGGCCTGGGCAGCCCCTGTCCTCAATGGTAGGCTTCTTGGGATCCCAGGAGAGGACAGCAGTACTTAGCCAACTGTGTCTAGCTACACACTTGGTGGGGAGGGACAAGTAGACTTCCTGCCACCCACAGGACTTAGACCATAAAGACTGGGTGCGTTAAGTGCTAGGTAGTGGGATCAGGCTCTGAGGGCCTGGCTGTTGGCCTGAATGAACCCAGTTCTTCTGGTCTCAGACGCTTGCTTGCTGGCCTGTCCTGGCTATATCTTTCCTCCACGACTGTGACAAACACTGATATTCACCTGGATTTTGGTCCTTTAAACAAGATTTCCCCCATCCCTGGAAGAGGGGATTTGGTGTTTTCATGTTACCCAGGAGTCTAACTGGGTATAATCCCAGTTTCATAGGGTCACTCCTGGACTCAAATTCAGATCTCCCAGTCAAGTCCTAGGGCTTTCCCTTCCCACAACACTCATTTGGCTGTGGTCTCCAGTGCTCTGCCTAGAGCCCAGTCAAGAATGGGCCCTTCCCTTCCCCCCCACTTCCTACATCTATCTTATTAGCTAGTTCTTTCAGCTTTGTTTTCCAATAGATTCTGCATCTGTCTACTTTTCCCCACTTCCACCATTGCCTGCTTGATCCAAGCCACCATCATGTCAGTACTGTAAAAGCCTCTGTGCTGGTCTTTCTGCTTCCACCTCTGTCCCGGTGTCAGCCAGCAGTATCTTCAGAAACCCATGTCACTCTTGCTTAAAACCCTTAAGGGGATCCCCAAGAGCCTCACTGTAGCCTTACAGCTCCTGTGTGTTCAAGCCCTGACCAACCTTGATGGTTGTGGCTTCTTCCTCCCTCCCTCAGCCACATTGGCTGCCTTCTGTTTCTCAAACACAGTGAGCTTGCTCTTCCTTCTGCTTGTACTGCTTTCCTCTGCCTTTTCCCTTTGCTACCTCCTTTTCATGACTCCAGGCTCAGCTCACATTGCTGCTTCCTCAGGGAGACCTTCCCAGATGACCCAATCCAAAGCCACCCTCAGCCATTTTCACTTTTTCTGTTTGATTTTCCTTCCTTTCTGAAATGTGCTTATGTGTTATTGCTGTGTCCATCTTGGTCACAGACGGAGCTCCTTGAGAGCAGGGCCCTGTCTGCCTTGCTCACCTCTGTATCCCCAGCACCCAGATCAGTGCTTGGCACCTAGTAGGCACTCAGTAAGTACTTGTTGAGTGCCTGCTATGTGCCAGGCATTGTGCTGAGGGCTTTGGTGGGGGGGGATCCAGATGTAAACAGCTCTAACTCTCAAAGAGCACAGAGTCCACAAGTATCAGAAATCTATTCAGCAACACTAGGATGTGGTGTGACTAATGAGGACTGTGCAGAGGGACAGAGAGGAACAAAAAGGCAACCCAGGGTACTATGTGGGCAGCCACGTGGTAGTAGGACTAAGTATGATGTTTGCAAGGAAAGAAATGGGGTGGCCAGACTGAACAAGAGACACTGAAGGGATAATGGCTATGCACAGGCTGGGCCGGGAGTCCTGGCTTCTGACCACACCACTAGTGGCCAGGGAGGAAGCTAGGAATTGGCAGGAAGCAGCCCAGGAAAAAGAACTAGAGAGTACTATGTAATGAGCACCAGTCCTGTGAAAGGTACATTGCGTGCGGTACCTTGGGGCTTTGCTGCAAACTGTTAGTAGGTAAGTTCAGAGAGGAGGAGAATGCTGCTGCTTGAAGGCAGTGACTTACCCAGGGAGCCCCAGCTGTCAGAGCTGGAGCTAACCAGGTCCGATCGGCTCCAGAACGAGTTGTCTTTTCCTTGCCCCCGGCTGGTGGAGCCTTGGGAAGCTGGAAGAGGGGTTGTCTTGGGGGTCTATGTACAGAGCCAAGGCCCAGGGAGGCTCTGAGCTGGCTGGCCCCTGGCCTCTCCTTAGTCGGTGGCAGTCAGAACCTACGCTTCTACTGGAAGGAGTTTGTGAATGAAGTAGACGTGCTGGTGTTCATGGTGGACTCGGCTGACCGGCTGCGGCTGCCTTGGGCACGGCAGGAACTGCACAAGCTGCTGGACAAGGACCCTGACCTGCCTGTCGTCGTGGTGGCCAACAAGCAGGTGAGGGCCATGGGAGGCTGGCTGAGGCCAGTTGGGCTTGATCCACCAATCCCTGGGCAGGGGCAAGGAGCACTGGAAAGAGATTCAGGTCCATGAGCTGGAGCACCTGGCTGAGATTCTGTCCCCTGCTTTTCTGCCTGTGCTTTTTCCTCATCCCTGATTCTCATCCTCTGTCTACCTTCCTCTTTGTCTCTCTGTCACCCACTATCCTGGAGAAATGAGAATGATAATGTTTAAGCACCACTATGTGTCAGGTATGGTTTTGAATAGCATTTCATAGCATGCTTCTAATTGACCCTACTAGTTATGGGATACTATTCCCATTTTACAAATTGGTAATCTGAAGCTCAGAGAGGTCTTGTAAGCTCCCCAAGGCTGTACACCTTGAAAATAGTGGAATTGGAATGTCTAAACCCAAAACTTGTGCCTTTTTTGCATTGCCACATCCTTGTGACTTCCAGCTTCAGAGAGCTAAAGCTGGAAGTAATAAGTTGAGCAGATTGAAATGACAATAATAACTAACATTTATTATAAGTGCGCTTAGAGTGTGCCAGGCTAACCACCTAACAATCATGACCTCACTTAAATCCTGCAAAATCCCATGAGAGGCCTTGTTATTATCCCTCAATGCCCAGAGTTACAGCTGGTATGTGGCAAAGTCAGGACTTGAACTCAGATCTTCCTCAAAGATTCCTCTTAACCACATGTACTTCTCCTGAGTCTTTGGCCAGACCTAAGGTACCATTCTCAATACATACCAAGTAGAGCTTTGCCATGGTACAGAGTTCTGTCATTTCTCCTGTGGCGTGGCCCATGTCCCTGAGAGCTGTGTGGCACATGTTCACAACCTGCCTGGAAAAGAAGCTGTATGTCTTTGACCCCAGTTTCCCTTGCCTATCAGGAAATACTTGACAGTTATAAATATGACCATATGTCTTGGTTTGCCTGGGACAGTCCCCATTTATGCCTGTTGTTCTGGTATAATTATTAATAGCGCCCACTTTGAGTACCAGAAGTACCCTGGTTTGGATGATGAATTATGCCATCATTCTATGTATAAATTATAATTTATAGCAATATAGAACCTACAGGAGACAACACCTAAGGTCCCAGCATTCTATGAATTGATCTAAGAATTATTTTAATTTGGGACCAAGGCTGAAATTAAAATGTACCCTCACCAGCCATGCTCTGCAATGGCCTTTTTCCCTCAGCCAGTGTCTAGGAGTCCGGGGCAGATGAGGCCCTTGTCTGGAAATGACCCTAGTATAAGATCTCCCCACTACTGAGTTTAGGAAACTGAGCTAGGATTCCTGTAAGGGTTGTAGGCTTGGTTATCAGAACAACCTGCTGCCTTTGTCACTGTGTCCTTAGCTAAATGCCTTCACCTCCCTGAGTCCATTTCCTCATCAGTTCAGTGTAGACCGTGAGAATCAAATAAGTTTAAGTGCCTCTTACGATGCCTGGCTTAAAGGAAGTGCCGTTTTCTTACCGCAGTGGCTGGTGGTGGTTTAAACAAGGTTGGTACAAAGGAAAGTCAGAGGTGAGGAAAAGAGTTTAGACAAAGGGGCCCAGAGGCCACTTCTGGGAATTTAGGCCCCAGGGTAGCCAAAGAACAGTTCTTTTCTTGGTGACAGCATGGGTGCTGGGAAATTGGCAGCTCTGTTCCAACCAGCTTCTCCATCTCATCCCAGGACCTGAGCGAGGCCATGAGCATGGTGGAGCTGCAGCAGGAGCTGGGCCTGCAGGCTTTCGATAGCCAGCGGGAGGTGTTCCTCTTGGCAGCCAGCATCGCCCCTGCAGGACCTGGCTTTGAAGACCCCGGCACCGTGCATATCTGGAGACTGCTCTTGGAGCTTCTCTCCTAGGCTGGCCCCCCACCTGCTCACCCACCCAACCCTGGAGACCCCCGTTCTGCCACCCCTGCTTCTCTACTGCCAGCCTCGGTCTGAAGCAGGAGCCATGTGGCAACTCCTCCCTTTTCTCCTTCCATGCTCCAGAACCGGGCCTGAGCAAGGCCAAGAACCACACAGAGGCCTTCCTGGTGAGGTGGCCGTGAGGCTGAAGTAGGGAGGCAGGGGCCCACATAGTGGGAGAGCATAGTGTCTGGCTCACTCCAGGCTGGAAGCGGATCCACCTTTCACCAGTGAGGGCCTGCACCCTCCTTTCTGACGTGTACAGTAAGGTGCTCAGCGGGCTCAGTTCTCACCACTGCAGGTTGTGGGGATTGAGAACGACTACAGTGTCAGAGGTACTCCCAGTCTGAACCATCCCCTCATGATGACTTCACGCCCTCTCGTGCAGGCGGGCTCTGGGCAGTACACAGTGAGCCTTGGCTCCAAGGCCCACGATGTCCTGCAGTCCCAGATCTGCCCCACTGGGTCATGGCCTTGTGCAATCTCTGCCTCCCTGGTCCTGGGGCCATCATTTTTAAAGAGAGATGATGTCCATGTTTGTTTTTTTTTTTCTAACTTGGAAATACATTTTCCAGCCGTGAAGGTAAGAAGTGCTAGAATGAAACTAGAGATCCTAGCGAGCTCTCTGAAACCTTCTGCTTCTGCAAGCCAAGGCCTGCCCGCCAGACTACAGGATCAAGTGGTATTTACCCCCGATCCTAAAAACTAAAGGCCCCCCCCCCCCCCCCAAATCTGGACACAGAAGCAGCTGCTCTTGCACTAACCGTGCCAATGTCCATGTTTACAGAAGTCTGGGGAAGGAGCCCATGCCCCTGGGGAGACAGCTGTTAACTGGAGCTGGGTGTTGGCCTCAGAACTGCATTTTAATTATTTATTTATTTATAAAAGGAACAGGCCAAAGTTTTAGGTTCTGTTTCTAGGTGCTGTTATCAAAACCCCAGATGACTGTCATGGAAAATTTGTGTCTTTGAGGAAAATAGCTGCAATTGTGAGGCAATGTGATAGCCTCGACATGTCAGTGGAGACAAAGCTTGGCTTCCCCCTGGCCCTCAAATCATTTATAGCTGTATTCAGTATCGTACTTCACATTAATCCACATGAACTTAAACTCCAACTTGGCCCAATATGTCAAAAGGACACACTCCCTTCTGTGTAGATGGTGACTCTAGGAGAGAAAATTTCCATCATATAAATCCTGGTAAAAAGAAAGAGTTAGCAGATCAGCCAACAGGAGGGCTTTGGGTACCTCACTCAGCCTTCCTGGACCTGCCGATTCCCCAAGTAAAGCAAAGTTGGACAGAATTTCTGGATTTTCTCCAGTGCACACTCCAGGATTCTCCTGTCTCTGGTGATCAGCCAATTTGTATATTGACACTTCTCTTTACTGCAGGCAAAAGGAGACTTTTGTCTGTCAGGGCCACTGAGTAATCAGTAGCCACAAATGGGCTTTTTTTTTTTTTTTTTAAAGGTGATATCCAACTCCGTTTGCTTTTTAATTGAGAATACAGATTATGTGCCTTCATTTCATTTGACACTTACTCAGTGTGCTTCAGTTCCACGCTGTGGCCTATGTGAGAAGAGGCACCGGGAAGGAAGGTGGGGACAGAAGCTCCCCAAGTCCAGAAGTGTGATTATTAGAACAGTGGCCTGCTGTGCTCTTGGGCTGTGGGTATAGCAACAGAATCACTGTTATTTGAAATCCTGATTAACTTTCTGCAGAAGAAAGATTTGTCTTTTATTTAAAACATTTAAGGAATGACTTGGCTTTTAGGGTAGGCTTTGAAACTTTGCCGACAAGTTTTCATTTTGACATTGAAAGATTCTAACACTTTACTTCTCTGTTTTATGAACTCCTTGTTCTCCAGTGCTTGACATCTACCTTTGGAACCAGCAGTGTTTTCTAATTAAGATCTGCCTTTGGTCTAATGAGTATCATGTAATACAATTTTCAAAGTCTCCAGTGAGGGCAGTGAACTTAAATAAAGAGTTTAACTGTATCTACTTGAGCAACTTTTGAAGACCCCAGATGACACACCACTGAGGGGTGCTGAAGGCCCAGAGTACCACCCCACTGATAAAGTGCAGAATACAGACGTTTTCTCGGCCTGTGGGTGTGCCTCATCACATTTGTGACCGACACCTGTGCTCTGGTGGGGTGTTGGCCTGTCCTCCAGGCAGGGTGCTTATCTGCTCTGGTTTCTACCAGGATTAGACCAGGTGAAGTAGAGGAATGGGCCTCGCTCATGAACAGGTATGTGGCTGGCCTGTGGGGCTCTTACCTAGTTGCTCCCAAATGTGACTTTCTGATTCACAAACCCAGATCACCTGCTCCTGTGACCCAGCCATTATCTGGAATTCATCTCAAAGTTTTCTGAGCTAACCTGGGTGACACTGTCTCCACCCCACCCCACCCCCACTGCCCAACACTACAGCTCCCAGCCTACCTGAGCACGGGTTAGGGGTCAAATGTCAGCAGCTCCCCTAACAGAGGCAGCTGGAAGGAAGGCTCTGGGTCTGAAAGAACAGATGGGCACTCCACACCAAAGGGAAGCCTGTGCTTCTGCTTGCCTGTTGAACCAAGGCCTGATCATTCACCCTGGCCTGTGAGGGCTTCTGTTCTTAAGAATTACTTAATACAATGTGGCTTCTGGTTTTCCATTCTGACCTGCTGCCAACCCTCTGAGGAGAGGTCAACTTGGCCCAAAGCTTGGTCGTGTGATGGTCTGAGCAAAATTAGGTTCCCGAGACTGCTGAGACCATCACCTTGGACTGGCTGCCTATCCCAAGAAGCCTCCTCTGATACTTCTTGGTGCCTGGATGGGGGCTGTAAGCTTACGCTGACACACTGGCATCCCGCTGTAAGGATGGGAGTGGGGTGGTGAAATCAGTCCCATCACAGCCCTCCCAGTCCTCCGGAGAGGTGCTGATGAAAATCTGAGGATTCTTGCCTGTCTGCCTGAATGAAACACTAGATTCTCCGAAAAATGTTTCCACTTGTCTTCAGAAAACATTTTGTTATGCTAGCTTGGTAGAAATTGCCAGCACACTGAACTAGCTGCTGAAACTCACCTGTGGTGTTCATCCGCGTGCACCTGCAAGTCCTTTCTAGTAGTTATGAAAGGACCTTCTCATCTGCTGCCTCTGCGAGGTGGGCCCATGAGGCACATGGGGAGAATTCCCATCAAAGACCTGGAAGTAAAGAGGCCTTGCTGTCCCAGTCCAAGCCCTGTGAACCGAGACCTGTGGGGTTACCAAGGACAATCTGCATTAAAAGAGTGCCGGCAGCAGTTTGAGCCACACAATAAATGCCAAAAACTTGGATGTGGTTTCATTTGAATTCTGATTTTGAGGAGTAGATGCTGGATGCTTACAGCTCCAGTGAGGGGCAGCTATGGAGGGTGGTCCCAGAATACTTCCTGTGACACAATCACTGGTCAACACCAAGCGTCCCAGTGTCCTGATGCTTCAGCCCACAGCTCAGTACCTTTTGGGAGGTACCCAAAGCTGGCTGACATCCCTTGGGAGTTCTAGCTGATGGGGGCTAGAGCCAGGGTGTGCAAACAGGAGCAAAGGATGTCTTCTAACTGCCTCCATCCCAGAGATCAGAATGGAGCATTCCCCTAGCGCCTGCCTTGGGCTGGGCTCTGGATTCCCACTTAAGGTGCCCACACTCAAGGCCAGTCTGATAGGGGGTGTGATGTCAAGCAGATTAAAAGGCAGTTATGACTGATTTATTGCTACAGGAAGTCTGCGGCATAGGGACAACAGGACGCTTACACAGCCTAGGGTTGGGCACAGTGGTAGGAAAGGGTTCCTAAAATTGGGACCTGAATTGGGTAAAGAAACAAGGGGCCAGCCATCAGTGTGTACACTGCTTACAATGGCCAGTCACTGCTGGGGCCTAAGCTGGCTGGGTCCTCTAGGAGGGGTTTCTGGGAACCTGATCAGTTTCAAGGCTGCCTTCAAAGAGGAGGATAGCAAATGAAAGTCCAGGCTTAGCTGTTGGACAGAACTGACTTCAAACTTCACATTGACTTCTCAAGCCTGAGTCTCCTTACCTGTAAAAGGATAAAGCCTTCACACACTTTATAGGATTTTACATGAAATGATTTATGTAAAAACATTAACTCCTTTTTAAGAGCAGTAAGAAGAACCAGATTTTAGGGGATCTTCTAGGAGAAACATTAGGAATATGAGGGTTTTTAAATTATAATAGCTGAAGATAGGGGCACCTGGGTGGCTCAGTTGGTTGAGCATCCGACTTTGGCTCAGGTCATGATCTTGCAGTTCATGAGTTTGAGCCCCGCGTCAAGCTTGCTGCTATCAGTGCATAGCCCACTTCAGATCTTCTGTCCCCTCTCTCTTTGTCCCTCCCCCACTTGCATTCTCTCAAAAATAAAAACATTTTAAAAAATTATAACTGAAGATAAAGTACCAAGGCCAGCAAATGCCCAGTGCTCACCCCACAACATGCCTGTGATCCTGTTCTGTGAGTCATCACCTCACATGACCAAATTAGGCCTCCCCTGATTGGCCACACAGTGTGTAGCCCAGTGCTTGGCACAGCATTGAGTGGTATTATGTGGTCCACCAGTCTCAGAAAGCAGATCTGGGGGCAAGAATCTGAAGACGCAGTGAAGGCCAGTCACAAGGATACAGCAGTACAGCTACTTGCCCTCTGGCCATCAACCCACAGCGTAGGGCCATGCGACAGCCAATCTGGCAACCTCCAGCCTCAGAGTAAGGCTAGTGTTGGCAACACAGACCCCTTCTGAGCAGCCTGGGGTGGCCAGCAGGCTTCTGTGGAAGGGTTACTGCTGTGTAGGAAACCAAGGCAGAGCAATGGAACCAGAACAGGGGAGAAGAGGAGGGAGGCCACACCTAAGAGGGCGTGGGGATGTGGCACACAAAGGGCTGGATGGCCTCTTTGCCCTGGTTGAATTGGTTTTCACAGGGGCAGTCCAGGGCTTGGCTGGGAGGGGAAAATAACTGTCAGAGAAGTAAAATAGCCTTATTTTATTATATACACATTATATGTAAACAAACCACCCACTCTGAAAACAGTAGGTTCTGGCTTTTCCCAGGGCCCTCAGAAGCCTTGTGGAGACGGTTCCTTCCCCAGAGAGAGGAGGATGTATGTGTGTGTGTGCACATGTGTGCACACATGTAACCTTTTGATTCCATGGGGTTTGGCCAGCCTCATCTAGCCGCATGCCCCTCCTTGCCTTAAACCCTGGTTTCCAGCTTCTTTGGTCCAGGAGGAGGCCTCAGCCTGGGGCAGGCATAAGCCACTCACTCAATCTCCATCTTATTCTTCTGCAAAGAATCAATGAAGGCTTGCCACTCCACTGGGTAAAAACGCTTATAGACGTTGATCTTACTCCGAATCTGTTTCGGGGTATCTTGATAGTAATTCTTCTCATCCCGGGCCATAGCCTAAGAAGGGAGAAGGGCCACTTGAGGAGGACTGGACAGGCAAAGTTCAGCTCCTAGTTCTGCCTGAGTTGGGCAAGCTACTTCATGTCCCCAGGGTTCAGATGCCTCACCTCAAATACAATGGTATATGCAGGGAAATGGGTGCAAATGTCCTCCATGACCCGGCAGACTTGGGGCCAGAAGAGTAGCTAATGCTCCATCCATAGCCAACTGATCCCACTTGGCCACCAGAGTCCAGTGCAGCCAAATTTTTCAATTAAAAAAAAAAATTTTTTTTAATGTCTATTATTGAGATAGGGAGTAACACAGCATGAGTGGGGGAGGGGCAGAGAGAGAGGGAGACACAGAATCTGAAGCAGATTTTTCTAGATCTAGATCTTTCCATTTTTAAGAGAAGTCAAAAATATGAACTTTTAGGGGCACCTGGGTGGCTTAGTCTGTTGGGCATCCGACTTCGGCTCAGGTCATGATCTCACAGTTCGTGGGTTCAAGCCCCGCGTTGGGCTCTGTGCTGACAGCTAGCTCAGAGCCTGGAGCCTGATACAGATTCTGTGTGTCTCTCTCTCTGATCCTCCCCTGCTCACGCGATCTCTCTCTCTCTCTCAGAAATAAATTAAACATTAAAAAAAATTGTTTTTAAACATGAACTTTTATTTGAAGCCTCCCATAATTAAAATGGCAACTAGTTCAATTTCTTTCAAAATACCATGCAAACAAAACAGAATTATCTGTGAATGGGATAAGAACCATAGGCCAGGCAGTCTATCCCAGCTCTAAGCATCTGTCAATGAGATCAATTTCCTAAAGTCTCTTTCCTTTCTTTGTTTCAACTCACTCTCAGGCAAGAGTCAAGATCAGACCCCAAATGGTCAGGGTGCCTTCCCAATGGACTCAAGTGGTTCTTCCTGCAGGGCCCAAACCACTCACCTTATAGTCCTCCCCATGATTCTCCACCATGTAACGCACATAGTCGATGAGGTCACGGGACAGTGTGTTACCTTTCTTTTCTGGGAGGCTGGCTTCTGCCTCCAGGTCTAGGGTGAGAGAAACCAAGAGACAAGAAATGAGGTTTTGCCTCCTGAACTTTTTGAGTTGCCCAGTCACACTCTCACCTAATCCCAAACCACGGCCATCAGATGGGCTTTGCCTCTCCATCCCCAATTCAGGACTCTTTAGCTCCTTGGATCCCAGGCTCTGCCTATGGCACAATCATCTATCAGTGCTACAACTACCTAAAAGACATCTCTCTTTGGGTCTCAGCTCGAGAAGAGGCAGGTATCAAACTAATAATCTCTACTTAGTACCAGGTCCTGAGGACAGAGATGAAGATACATTGCCTACCATAGGTTGGGACGCCCTTCCATCTCTAAAACTTCTGGAGAACTTCTTTTCTTGAAGTGTTACAACAATATTGTGAAATGGAAAGGTCTGAATGAGAACTAATGCTGCAAGGCCTGCGGCTGTGCCTCACGCATCTCACTGATCCATGTGAGGGAAAAAGCCAAGCTGTGAGCCAATGGTGGCTTCACTTTTAAAATAGCTAGGCATGGGGCGCCTGGGTGGCTCAGTCCGTTAGGCATCCGACTTGGGCTCAAGTTATGTCCTCATGATTCATGAGTTCAAGCATGGCATCCAGCTTGCTGCTGTCAGCACAGAACCCACTTCAGATCCACAGTCCTCCATTCTCTCTTGTCCCTCCCCTGCTGATTCCTTCTCTCCCTCTGTAATAAATAAGTTCAAAAACTTAAAAATAAAATAAAATAAAATAGTTAGGCAAACAGTCCTCATTTCTCAACTAGGAGGAAAATATTTCACAGAAAGAAGGTGGTCAAATGTTAAATTGCTTATGGTCAAAATGATCTTCGACTTGGTTGCCAGGAGCTGGGAGGCAGGGGAGACATGAACAGGGGATTTGTTGTTTAATGGGTAGAGTTTCAGTTTTGAAGATGAAAAAGTTCTGGAGATCTGTTACATGACAACATAAACATACTTAACACTACTGAGCTATACAATTAAAAATAATTAAGATAGTAAACTTTATGTAATATGCTTTTTTACCACAATTTAGAATTAATTTTTCTTAAAGGATGACAAGTAAAACTTTTTAAAATTAACTTTGAGGGGCGCCTGGGTGGCTCAGTAGGTTGAGCATCTGGCTTCAGCTCAGGTCATGATCTCACGGTTCATGGGTTTGAGCCCCGCATCGGGCTCTGTGCTGACAGCCAGCTCAGAGCCTGGAGCCTGTCTTCGTATTCTGTGTCTCCCACTCTCTCTGACCCTCCCCTGCTCAAGCTGTCTCTATCTCTCTCTCAGAAATAAATAAAACATTAAAAAAAAAATTTAAAAAAAAAATCCTGTTCATCCTTAAATTCACAACAAGCTGAACACATGCATGAGACTTAATGGTTTCTTTTCTATTCTTTTCTTTTTTTTTTAAACTTAACCGACTGAGCCACCTAGGCACCCCTCTTTTCTATTCTCTTAAGGCACCTGGCTACATCCCCCTGAGCGTCTCTGACCTCATTTCACACACTGGAATTTAATAAGTAGACTAAAAATGTCCCAGAGACACAGTGTTAACTTTGGGAGCCCTGGACAGGCTCCCTACTTCCCTCTGAACCTCAGTTTCTCAATCTGTATAATGAAGACATTTGAGGGCCCTTTTTTATTTTTGTTTTGTTTTTTTCTTTTTCTCTCTCCCCCCTTTCTCATTTGAGGGCCCTTTTTAGCCCTGACTGTGCAGGATGGTGACCTAGAGGAATGTGGCCAGCACTCACCATTTAGCACATAGGGTTTCCGCACAAGCTCCTTAGGCCTTTCCTCTACGTCAATGTCCATGGCCTTTATCTGCAGAGAAGAGAGGCTGTGAGACCAATAGACAAAGGAAAGATCCCAGATGAGGGAGAATTCTAGAGGTTCCTGCCCTCCCAACACAACTGCATTACCCATTAGAATCCCTACACAAGTTCAGGCAGGAAGAGATGACAGAGAGAACCATTGCTCCAGAGGCTTTATGGTTCCCAAAAGGCATTCAAGCAAGCAATTCATCTTTCTGTGCCTGTCTATAAAATGGGCATAATACCCTGTGCCTACCTCACCTCATGTGTGCTAATCAAGTGAAACAATGTACATGAAACCTCTTCATAATTTACAATGAGGAGATGTCAGATACCTTCTCTATGAAGAGGAGCAACCCGACAGTGCTTAGCGGTAGTTTCATATTCGATCAAGAAGCAGTAGTGCCATTTACTCTGGCATGAAGGAATAAAAAGAAAACTTGTCTAAAGGCAATGGGACAAATTCAATCTGCAAGCCCATTCATCAAGTTAACTACTGAGCACTAGTCACATCCTAAGCACCACTGGGGATTTAGTAGTGAACAAAACACAAAGTTGTCTCCAAGGAGATTATGTTGGGGTAAAGAGGCGCAGACAATAAACAAATATATAAAACACCATCAAGTGTTTACAAGTGCTATGAATTAAAGCAGGGAAGAAATTACTTAGTAAAAAAAAAAAAAAAAAAAGGTGCAATTTTTTGGAAGGGCGGTCCAGGAAGAGACCTATTTGGGAGAAACTAAGGAAGCCTCAGACCAGGATAACTAGAGGAAGGTGTAAGGAAGAGGAAGTGAAGATCCCAAACTCTGAGGAGTCCTTATTAGGAAAGTTAAGGGCAGACAAAGATAAATTCTGGAAAACACCACTGAGATGACAAGGGACCCAAACAGGTTCATTTGGGAGGGAAAAATGAATGGAGAAGAAAAGGGGGAAGCTCCAACCCTGGCCCAACGTGTGCTGAGGAGTCTGAGCGTGGTGGTAAAGAATCCTTTATCAGTGCGGGCTGCGAGCTGGCTGTGGGAAGGTCGCAAACCCAGGAAAAGCGTGAGCGTGGGAATGGACAGGAGGAAGTTTTGAAACCCAGCTAAGTACGGCGGGAAGCAGGGGTCAAAGGCGGGGACCCTGCCATGTCAGTACCTTTCTCTTACGAAGGGGCACGGCCTTGTTGGGGTCCATAGCCAACCCCATCTCGGCCAGGTTCTGCCGCACGGATTTAGCGTGGTCCCAGGCATGTCGGATGTGGGAGCTATGGGCAAAGAGAGAGATCACGGAACCGTCATCTCGCAGGCCGTCTCAGCTGAGGTTCCCCTGCCTCCTAAACCCCGCGCCCCTCACCACTCGATCCGCGGCGCCGCTTTCCGTCGAGCATTTCGGTTCAGACGCTTCCGGTTAACATTGTAACCGAACTTCTGTCTCCTTGTCTTCCCCTTGGCCTTGGGCATTGTAGTAACTACCGCACCAGCAACTACAACTGGGCGCCTCTCGCTCGCAGCACCTCGTGTAGCAGACTACTTCCGGCAGATACGCGCAAGGGCTCTGCAGGCTTTTTGGGAAATGTAGTCCTCCCTAGAACGATATCATACAGTTTACTACGACTCCCAGAATGCAACGAGTGGTTGGCGCCTGCGTACAATGCTCAGCAAATTCCTTTTCCCCGCCCCTCTCATGACCTCACCAGGAGGCGGAGTTTAGCGTCCCTAGTTTCTCCTAGAGCAGTTGCGGGGACATGGCGGTTCCTGGCCCTGTGACTCCAGAGGCACCCTTTGAGCCATCACAGCCCCCAGTCATTGAGGGCTTTAGCCCCAGCGTCTACACTACCCCAGAAAGCTTCAAGGAAAAATTCCTTCGCAAGACCCGCGAGAACCCAATGGTACCCATAGGTAAGCAGGTGTTGCAGGAACCGTAGACCAAGAGGATAGTAATGTCTGAGGGAATGAATTAGGGGGGTACCGGGAAAGCCAAGGGGGACGTGAGTGAGACCGGGACCAGAGTTGTGGCAGAGGGGCCGGGCGGTGAGGGCTGAACCTGATTGAAGCTGGACGGGATTGGGGGACGCAGAGATGGGGCGAGCCCTGTAACTGGGAAGATCCTACCTCGACCAAAGCCTCCCACTCGGCCCCACCTCCCTTCCCTCGGCCGCTCTTCTGAGCTCTCCACTCTGGAAGGGGGGCCCAAAGCGGGGAGGAGCCCACGGGGTCAGCATTCGCCCCTTGCTTTGTCCCCTCCTCAGGCTGCCTGGGCACGGCGGCCGCCCTAACCTACGGCCTCTACTGCTTCCACCGGGGTCAGAGCCACCGCTCTCAGCTCATGATGCGCACCCGGATCGCTGCCCAGGGCTTCACGGTCGCAGCCATCTTGCTGGGTCTGGCTGCATCTGCTATGAGGTCTCGATCCTGAGCCCGAGATTTGGCCTTGAAAGTTCCGCAGAGATCATTCCCGGCCCCAGGAGCAACCACCGGCCCTGTCACATGACTTATTCCTTCATCTCCCCTGACAAGTCGAAGTGGCCAATTGTGTGACCGACACATGTTTTTTCAGGAATTTAAAATTCGATTTAGTTTGGGTGTTGCATACTTATATCTGTGCCTCACTTTCTCCACCTCCTACTTAATAAATTGATCCACTTGTAATTTGGTGAATTCATTCCTTCGGACCCCTCCCCCCCGCAAGGTTCTTGGTCTTTGGTTTTAGGACGAAATTGTCTAAAAACTTCAGGGACCCTTAGAAATCTTAATAGTTTATTCGTTCCTGAGCTTTCCTGGTAACAATCACCTGGGAACCTTGTTAAAAGTAGAGATTCCCTAAAGTGATGCTATTTGGAAAAAACTGATGTTTCCAACAATTTTCAAACTTTCAACAGGAAAACTTTTCTTCAGACTAGGCCAGCAGCTGTGGCCCTGTCCAAGGCAGGACACTTTGCTCCTCACCCCGCTGTCACCTCCTGAGAGCACCTAGGGCTCCACTGATCTAGACTCTCCTGGCTTGGTTCTTGATGCATCTTCAGAACAGGAAACAGGCTGAGAAGCAGCCTGGTGTAGTGGTGAGAACATAGTCACAAAGCTTGCCACTGGTTTGTGTACCTGCTGTTTCAGGGTTAAGGAAGAAAGGAGACTGGGGACCTGAGCAAACTCTGGAAGAGAGGCAACCTATGAGTTTCTCATTCATGTAAAATCTCAAACAAGTATTCCTGGACTGTGGTCAGATCCAACATGTTGATTTGGATCCAAGTTCCTTCCATGTGTGACTTCATCAATTTCAACACCATCCGCAAGCTGCCAGAAGGGAAAAAGAGGGAGTAAAGAAGACATACCCACTTTTTGAGCCTCGTAACACAATCTAAATTTCAAAATGGAGGAGTGTATGACTAGGGCCTACTAAGTTTCTTGCTCCCATCATGGTCTCTCAGTTTATGTAAGGCAGGGATTATAAATTTAAAGCAATACCTTATGGTGACCCTTGCCTCAAGATTCAAGGAATTGATATGGAGTAGTGAGGACTAGGGCACTTTTAAAGATGAAGGCCACTGTTTTTAGTGGTTGGTGGTATTGTGTTCCCCTACAGAAGAAATGTTGAAGTCCTAACCCACTACCTCAAAATGTGATCGTATTTGGAAATAGGGTCTTTACTGATAATTAAACTGAGATCGTTGGGGTAGGCCTTAATCCATTCTGATTGACGTCCTTATGAAAGGGGACATTTGGCAGAAAGATAGACAAGGTACAGATGATGTGAAGATGACCTCACCTACAAGTCAAAGAATGCCTGAGGCTGCCAGAAGCTGGGAAAGAAGCTTGCACAGATCCTTCCCTAGTGCCTTCAGACAGACCATGGCCCTGCCGACACTTTGATTTTGGACTTTGGGCCTCCAGAATGGTGAAACAATAAATTTGTGTTGTTCAAAGCCAGACACTGCAGTACTTTGTAATGGCAGCTCTATGAAAAGAATAGTTGGTAGTTACTCAGATCTTTTTATACATTGTGCAGGTCACAGCGGCTGAAACATAGCCTGTCTGCAACCTCTGCTGAAGAGGAAGAAGGTGTGGTCACTGGTTATTTTGCCCAGATCTGCAGAGGGGCACAGCTGAAGGAGGGAGAGCAGTGGGCCTTCCCCATCTAGAGGGTACTGGCCAGACCCAAAGTCTGGCAGGAGCCACTGTCACCAGCCTCTCACCCAGGTTGAGAGGGGAGCTACCACTGGGAACCTCTGGCCTTGCCTCTTCCCTCCCACTTGAAGCTTCTTACTCTCTGGGAGCCTTGGTGTCCATGGCTTTATCATGACAAAGGAATCCTTATCTCACCGGCTCATTCAAGAATCAGAAAGGATCAAGGTTGCAAAGCATTCCATCAGAGGTTGTCTTTCCTCCTGAGCCAGAGGCAGCAGACATACACAGGTTGGGACACCCACTTCCAGCTGGGAGGGGTGCCAGGGAAACAGCCTCACCTCTCAAGGCCACGAAGCTGGGGAAGTTCTAAGCACAAACTGAGCCCTGACACCAGTTATGGCTTCCAGAGAAATGAGAATGATAATAAATAAGTGTAAAAAGAGTTAACAACACACCCTTTAAGCCAAGAAAAAAAAAAATACATCAGGAGGGACAGTCACAATTTCGTGGACTGAGAGGAGGTGTGAAGGGCTGGGCCACAGGGCTAGGAGGGAATGGGGTGAGAGGGGTGAGGGTTCCCCTTCGCAGCCCCAGGAGATGGGGAGGAACGGAATAGGCTGTGTGCAGCAGCTGCTGGAGGCGCTGTCCCCGCTGGCCGAAGCAGCTGCTCCTCCTGTGCCCAGACCCAGCCCATGCTTTGCGGCCATGCTTGTGACAGGCACCTAGCGGGACAGCGGCGTCTGCTTCAGGGACATGAGCACTGAGCGAAGGCGGGACACGTCTTTGCACTGCTTGCTGCTCTTGGGGTTGAAGTCACACAGCTGAGCCACCTTCTCCCACTCTGTGCCTGGGGTCTCCTCCTTGGATTCCTTCACGAAAGCCTCCTCCGATGCCCTGCAGGTGGAGACAAGACAGAGGTTTCATGGCTGTCTGTCTTTCTCCCCAGTCAGTGATGCTTTGCTCCCATTGAATAAGCTCCTCCAGCCTACTCTGGGGTGCTCTGTCCAGAGTTAGCCCTGTGTCCTATGCCCTCAGGCCCCCAGGGACAGCCTTGGCATCAGAGGAAGCCTAGTTTGGTCCTGCCTCAGGGCCTTTGTACTTGGCTGTTACCTCTTCCTGGAGTGCTTTCCCCTATACCTGCTCATAGCTTGTAGCTTCTTTTCATTCAAGTCTGAGTGCAGGCCTCACCTCCCCAGCAAGAATTCCCAAGTGGGGCACCTGGGCGGCTCAGTTAGCTAAGCCTCTGACTCTTGACTTCAGCGCAGATCATGATCTCACAGTTCGTGCGTTGGAGCCCTGCGTTGGACTCTGCTGACAGTGCGGAGCCTGCTTGGAATTCTTTCTCTCTGTGTCTCTCTGCCTCTCCCCTGCTTACTTGCTCTCTCAAAAAAAAAAAAAAAAGGAATTCCCAGCCTGGGAATCCCAACAACTAAAGAACCTTAGAGGAACTAGTGCAGTACCTCAGCTATTTTTTTTTTTATTTTTTTTTTAATGTTTTTTTATTTATTTCTAGGAGAGAGAGAGAGACAGCGTGAGCAGGGGAGGGTCAGGGAGAGAGGGAGTCACAGACTCTGAAACAGGCTCCAGGCTCTGAGCTGGCAGTCAGCACAGAGCCAAACGCAGAGCTAGAACCCACGAACCACGAGATCATGACCTAAG